GAATGATAGGAGAACTGATGCCTTTGAGCTGTGATGCTGGAGAAGAGTATTAAATATACCGTGGACTGCTAGGAGAACAAACAAGTTCATCCTGAAGAGGGTGAAACCAGGCTGTTCCTTGGAGGCAAGGATTCTGAAGCTTCAACTGACACACTATGGACATGTTGCAAGGAGGGATTAGTCCTTGAAAGGGGACATGATGCTTGGGAGGGTGGAGGGACAGCACAAGAGAGGAAAACCCATGAAGAGACAGATTGACTCATTGACTAGGATCACGAGGGCAGGTGTGTCAGGCAATGAGGTCGGCTAGGGACAGAGCAGGGTTCAGGACTGTTTGTTGTACACAAGATTCCTATGAGTCAAGCGGCTGACGACACACAGCTGATCTTCCTCACAGGTGTGCTGACGCTGTCTGTCACTGACAGGACTGACCTTCAGGATAGACCTCGAAACGTTCTTTTTGACAGTGGATGTGATGCCCCTTCCTCTTCCATTTCTTCTACCGGGAACAGCAGGCGATACGACTGTCTGATTGAAAATAATCAATGTCAGTCCATTTCAACTCACTGAAGCCATGGATGTTGTTCCTAGGGTCGCCATGAGTCATACACAGCTTGACAGCCCCCAAGAGCTACAGCAAATATCCACTTCATTCTTTCTCTGACTTCTCACTTTCCCTGTTCATGCTCTGTACTGTCTATATTCTGATTCTTGATAGAGGTTTACATATCTTTTCCCCCATTCTGAGTCAAGTTACATCAGTACATGAAGGTCCCTCATTGGCTGAGATTTACTCCATCCCCGTCGTTAAGGTAGACTCCTCTCTGAGAGTGCAGTTCGCCCTCAGTTGTGTTTCCACACCTTCCCAGCCTGAGGGCTCACCTTCGGGCTCACAATATCACAAGGTGCCCCACTTTCTATATCAGAATGTATCAGAAGTTCCCAAGAAAGAGAAGGAGATCCTCAACAAAGCGGGTTAACACAGCGCCCGCAATGAGGGGAGTGAGTGTGGCTGGGACCATGACAACAGTGCAGGACAGGCAAGGTTCCAGTGTGTGGTTCCTAGGTCCCTGTGGATGGTCGTCTGTTCGATGGCACCTACCAACAACAATTCACAAGGTTTCACTTCCATGTTTTTTTGTAAGTGGATTTTTAGGTAGTCTTTCACAACCTGTTAGTCTGGAAACTCCCCTGAAACTTGTCCATTCTGCTGGTGTTTGAAGTATAGATGCTATTCCTAGTGTCACAGAAATGCACAGGCCACCGCCATACAGAACATCAACAGATAAGTCATAGAATATCCCACATGCAGCCCTGAACTGCTCCAGGACAAATTGCTCAGATCAGATGAGTACTCACAACAAGATTGTTTTAGAAAATCTTTCTACTTTAAAGCAGAATTCTTTTTCTTCCCTCTTTTCCTTTAATTAGCACTTCATTCTCACAAACGTTAATTGCATCTGTTCAAAAGTACTGTTGTTGTTGTTGTTGATGGCCTTCAAGTATGACTTAGAGTGACCCTATGAACAAAAGGCCTGACTGAAATCCCTCTGCAACTATCGACATCATCAAAGTTCACAGAGTTTCCAGACGCAAGTTGTTTAGGAAGGATGTCTCTCTTGCTTCCAAAAGTACTACTAATAAAAAAAAGTATAGGGAAAACACCAAAACATTTGACAAATCATTGACACACTTCGTGTGAGCAGCAGTGAAAACAAGTTTGTAGCTGGGTGCAGATGAAACCACGTGATTAGAAGCATCATTGTAATCGAGTAATAATGACAGCTCAGACCCATGCACACTGATAGGGTCAATAAAGTAGATAGACCACCACAATTTCAGCCTGGTGAGCATATTGATGCATGCAAGATAAGCTTACAAAAAACAAACTTTCGTCGTCTTAACTAACTACAGGGTTATTTTTTTCCTAATAACCTTGCAATTTCGTATTGGTTTTTCTTCAGTTTAATATATATTTTGTTTTCTAACATTAATTACAATTGATGAATAGAATTCACTAACATGGTTGATGCACCCCTTACTGTAGATTGCCTTTCACTTTGCTCAACTTACTTTTTAAATTTTTCCTCTCTTCTCATCTAATTAATGGCCTATTTTGCCTAAAAAGAATAATTTTGTGCTGAAACACAGCATAAAAACTGTATAGAGAGTTATAAAAATTTTATAGAGCATTTGGTGCTGCCCACCCTCTCTGACAGTGTCCCTGGAATCCACATACAGCCTCTCTCACCAGGTGGTGGAGTCCACACATAGTACAATCCCTACCGCCGTGCAGACCCAACACACCCTTACATGAGCTTGCTGATGCAACGGGGGATGGCAGGGGGGATGGCAGGGGGATGGCAGGGGGATGGCAGGGGGGGATGGCAGGGGGCATGGCAGGGGAGATGCAGCTCTGTGCACTGATGACACTTGCTGGGACCAGGACCGAAGCAGGGGCTGCTGGAGCCGGGTTTAAACTGCAGTACATTCCAGCCCATTGAACACCCCGGAGCACGCAGCCCACTCTGAGGTCACAATCAGCTGCCTCAACTTGCCAGCAAGTGGGTTTGAGGCTGAACATCCTAAGAGGACTTTTGGGGCTTCTGTTCGGGAAAAGTGCCTGACTCAGAGCCCAGTACCAATCCTGACTTGGCAGCTCTCCACGGCTTTCCAAATCTGTTCATCTGGAGTGGAGGAGACTGTCCATCTGGCTCCTGTGAAGTGGTGGATTCAAACCACGGAACTTTCCATTAGCAACCCAACACTTAATCCACTACACCACCAGGGTAGTAAATCCCTGCTGCATGAGCACCGAGAAGACAGCCAGCCATTTCCACCATGGCTCGGGACCCAGGAAGACCAGAACCCAGAGCTCGTTCACAGGGACGTCCTGGGGTGAGCTCCTTCACGTCTCGGGCTGCTGCTCACAGTGCCACCAGGGAGGCAGCTACTGTTATCAGCCACATTTAAGGGTCAGGAACATGGACTCAGAGGTTTAAGAGAAACATCCCAGACCAGTTAAATCCGAATCTTTACAGTGGCTGAAGATTAAAACCCTTCATCAGTATTTGTTAACGTGTGTTGCTGGGCAATTCCCGGACTAGGAAGAAGGGCCTGGCAATCGCCTCCTGGAAACCTTACAGATCGCAATGGTCCAATTCACAAATGGTTGGGGAGGCAGGGCAGGACCGGGTAGCATCTAGTCCATTGTGCCCAGGGCACTGTGAGCCGGTCCAAGCTATGACAGCTACAATGGCCAGATGACCACCACAGCCACTTGTAGTCAAGTTGGAGGCCCTTGGCGACCACCAGGTGGCCATGGGCAGGTCAGAATCTGGGCTAGAAAGTAAAGCAGCCCAAGCCACTGCCCAGTCTTTGCCTATCAATACAGCAATGCTGCCCACCCTTGGCTAGTTTTGAGAGGAAGAAAAAACATCAACAATGTGACAGCTGTGTGCCCCCCCACCTTCACCCACGGAAAGCAAATTAGTCATAAGCAGCACGCCCACGCAACATTAACCCCGTCCAATGGACATGCAAACAGAATCAGCCCCATTTGAACATCAGGGTTCCAGCATTTACAAACCAATTTGAGAGAAAGTAACAGAGGTAAGGTGGGCAAGCGGAGGCGAGCCCCTCACCCTCACCAGCTCACTCAGTTCATCTTCCTGGAGACTATGGATTTGTTCTCTGTCCTGCAGAAGTGTGACTGGGTGTCTCCTTGGAAGAATTCTGTTTACAGCAGCAATGGAGCAGCCCTGAGGGCGAAGTGAGTAAATTCTCAGCTCCCAACCCTAAGGTGCTGCTCCAGGGAAGAAGGATGAAGCAGTCTGCTTCTGGAGAGATTTGTTGTTGTGTACCATCTACTGTTAGAGACCTCTCTAAAGTACTGAAGAGCAATGATGTTAGTCTGGAGACTAAGGTGTGCCTGATACAGGCCATGGTCTTTGCAATCACTTGCTATGCATCAGAGAGCTGGACAATGACTATGGAGGATAGAAGGAGAATTGATGCCTTTGAGCTGTGGTGTTAGAGAAGAGTATTGAATATCCTATGGACTGCTAAGAGAATGAACAGGTTCATCCTAGAGAGGGTTAAATCAGGTTGCTCCTTGGAGGCAAGGATTCTGAAGCTTCGTCTGACATACTTTGGACATGTTACAAGGAGAGACCAGTCCTTGGAGAGGGATGTTATGCTTGGGAGGTTGGAGAGACAGTGCAGGAGAGAGGGACCCTCGATGAGATGTATTGATTCAGTGACTGGGGAAATAGGGGTAGGTGTGTCAGAGGCAATAAGATTGTCACAGGATAGGGCACGGTTTAGGGCTGTTGTACCCATGGTCACTATGAGTCTCAGGCTACTTGACAGCACACAACAACAACAACCATCAAATTGGAACCCATGGGCTGATCCACCAATGGGCTTTCAGAAGCAGTAAATCACAGGAGAGGAAACTGCCCGTCCCATCCTTCTCCCGCAGAGCAGCCTGTGTGCCTGTGGGATTGCAGTGTAGCTTCTTAACATGAGGCCGTCAGAGGCTTCACAAGGCTGTGGGGCAGGTCTTCTTTGCTCTGTAGGGTCACTCTGCACTGGGACCAACTCAATGAAACTGAGATTGAGTGGGAACCTATATGAATGACTGTGTCATACAGAGAAGGTTTAAGGCTGGTCCCCAGAGCATGGCTGCAGCCCTCAGCTTGGGCCCCTAGCCCCTCCTGTGCACGCACGATGGAGCTGCCTCTGCAGATAACAGACTCTACATACCTGCTCATGAGCCCACCTAGCCTGTCCTGACACCAGAGAGATGTCCTGTCCCCATGCCACATGACACTCAGACTACAGCTTCCTTGTCCGTGTGCCCAGGTCACATGCACCCCCTGGCCTGACCCAGTAGGTCGCACACAGGTGTGTTTACAGTGCCCCCTTCACCCTACAGGGATAAGGCCTCTGGAGCTGCACTTCCCATCCTCACCCAACCCTAGGTGCATGCAGCTCACCTGCAGCAGGAGTACTGGGAGCAGCAGCAGCAGCAGGACCTGCTCCCTGGAGCCCATGCCCTCACCCCTCACCAGGACCACAGGTGGGGCCAGTGCACAGAGGACAGCAGTGCTGGGTCTCTGAAAGCAGGACCCTCCTTCCCAGCCAGCACTTGCCCTTCAAATGCTCTCCTGCCCACTGGCTGGCTGCTTTTATCCCCACTCTCCCCATCGCCCTTTCTTGACCCTCCTTGTATTTGTCAGGGCGGGGTAGGGTGACACTATTTAATCTCTCTCACTGAAAGTAGGGTTCTCAGGAAGGGTGTGGGAGAAATAAAGGTAGTGACCCAGCCACTCATGGTGATAGCTGAGCAGGTGAAATACAAAGCAGAGCTTCTGGGACAACGCTGGCAAGCACCTCCATCTAAAGGCCAAAGGTCTCTTTCAGGAGCAGGGTTTATTAATGACCTTGACCTACTTCCCATAACCCCTGCCCCTCCTAACATGAAGGGTTAGAAAACAACCCCAAGAGGAAATAACTCTTAGAGGAAAGGAAACAAAAAAAGCTTTCCAAAGCATAAGGGCATTTTCACCATGCTTCAGGGCTTTGGGGTACACATGGGCTTTCCAATGACGCCTCTTTCAAACTTAGATGGATCTGTCCTTCTGTGTTTGGACTAAAAGTTGGAAGGAAGAAAGGCGAGAAAAAGTTTCCCTTTGGGTAGGGTTTCTGAAAACCAAGGAATGTTTATATATCAGCATTCTGGACACAAGGACACGTTGGGACTCCCTTATGTCAAGACTTAGTTTGCAAAGAGCATGGATTAAACTCTGAGCTTTATTAACCCTGATTATATATATATACCATTAATATACCATTTCACTATCACAGTACTCCTTGCTGTCCAGTTCATTCCACCTCACAGCGAACCTCATGACATAGTGCCGTAAATGTCAAGATACTGACTGAAAGGTCAGAGGTTTGACTCCACCAGTGACTCCAAAGAAGAGATGAACATTCTCCAGCAGAAGCCAGACAGCTTTGTAAAGCCGACCTCGGGTGCCATGAGCCACCAGCAAGGGGACAGCAGCAGATCCTGTTTGTTGTTGTGTGACCTACAGTCCACTATGACTTGTAGTAATCCTGTAAACAATGGCTCTAGACCCCATTGTCACAGTCACTGTGTGAATCTATCTCATCCAAGGGCTTCATCTTCTGTGTTGATCTTCTACCCTTGTAAGTATGATGTCCTCCTCTGAGGACTGGCCCCTTCTGACAACATGCTCAAAGTATGTGAGACACAGCTTCAAAATCCTTGCCTCCAAGGAGCAAACTGGTTTCAACCTCTCCAGGACAGACCTGTTTGTTTTCTTGGCTGTCCATGGCATGTTTAATAATCTTCTCCAGTTCTACAACTCAAAGGCATCAGTTCTTCTTCTGTCATCTTTATTCAGTGTTCAACTCTCAGATGCATAGCAAGCAATTGAGAAGGCCATGGCCTGGATCAGGCGTGACTTGGGCTCTAGAGTGATTTTAGTTTAGACTAGTTCAAAGTCAATTCAGCCTCACAGCACCCCTTCACAACAAGGCCGAATGATCCCACAAAGTTTATAAGGCTAGAATTTTTGTGGACACAGACTGCCTAACTTTCTGTCATAGAGCAGGTTGTCGTTGTTGAGTGTCGTGGAGTCAGAATGAACCCGTAGCTGACCCTCCAGCAGGTTTTCAGAGGCAGGAAATCACAAGGAGACTGGCCATCTTTCTCCTGTGGACCAGCTGGTGGATTAAACCATATGAGGCATTGCCGCCTGACTTGTGGCCACTAGAGGCCACTAGCGCTCCCCATGGAGCCTCAGGGATGGGGTCCACCCCTAACCTGTGATTAGCATCGTAACAGCTGCACCGCCAAGGACCTGTGTTGTCCTCTTTCTTCTCTTCAAATGGTAATCAGTTCTTAAGCAAATGAAATTCAAGGGAAACTCTCTTACCCTACTGTTCTATTGAGATGCTGCTATTTCATTTAAATAGCATATTATTTCATTCTAATTACTACTTTATCACGGAAATGAGAAGTGTCATCTTAAGATCCTTAAATATATAGGCTAGAAAGACAAACAGAATCATGACTAAATACGATTCACAGCAACTCAGTACACAGTGAACGAAACCTTGCCTGATCCTGCGCTTTCCTCATGATGTGCCTACGGCCATGGTCACAGTCACCAGGCCAGTCCATTCCACTGAGGGACTTCCTCTCCATCACTGACCCTCTCCTCTTCTCGCAGGAACTGACCCATCGTGACAACATACACAAAATGCGTGAGCCGGGGTCTCACCATCCTTCTAAGGAGCACTCCGCCAGCATCAGTTCTTCCAAGATAAATTTGCTTGTTCTTTAGACAGTCTAGGATAGAGTCAATACCCTTTAGCAATGCCGAGACTCAAAGGCATCTGTTAGCCTCCGATCTTTCTTATTCATTGTCCACCTTCCACTTGAATATGAAACAATTGACAACATCATGACTTGGGGCGTCTTAGTCTTTAAGCTAACACCCTTGCTCTTTAGAACTTTGAGAACTCCTTGCAAGCAGATTTGCCCAATTTAATGCATCTTTTGATTTCTTGGCTGCTGTTTTTATGGGTGTTAGCATGGAGCCAAGTAAAACAAAATGATTAACAGTTTTACCCCTGGTTAAACGCTGCCCTTTGCTACCCTGCATGATCAATTGTTCCAAAGAAGGAGTTGCTCCCTGTGTTGTCGTTCACCTTAGAGACCTGACCACCATTCAGGTGAAAGTTGACACACAGGGTGAGTTTGTTCCAGGTGTCTAAGAGCCATCGTTTCTGTGGTTGCACCAGATGATGTTTTAATGATTTCCACAGAAGCCAAGTTTTTACACTCCCGAGCATTGTCAAATAACTGAGCAGACAGACAGACAGACAGACAGACAGAGTCACCACAATGAGGCTCTTCTCAGTGGTGCCCTGGGTCCTTGGACCCGCTGCATATGGCAGCATCTCTGAACCAGAAGGCATGAGGGGCTGACCCTTCACCTTTCGAGTGTCTGTAGTTCCAGTTGCTAAAAATAATGACAATACACTGACCCTTCCCTGGAACAGGTGAAGGGAAGGACTGTCTGAAACGAGTAACAGGTGCTGTGATCATGACAACTGAGAACCGGGAACAGGCCTGGCATGGCAAAGTCCATTGGGGGAGGGCGGAGACTGTCGACCAGCGAATGAATGAAAACCCAAGCTTTCTGCAGACTTTCATGAAAATCATAATTAAAAACATTAAAAAGAGAGAACACCACGATGTGAATATAAGGCTTAATCTGAAGAATTATTCTCCATATGTACAGCCTAGCTGTAAGAAGCTCTGCTGCAATCCTGAAGGCACTGTTCAAATCTATCAGCTGCTCCTTCGAAGAAAGATGGGCAGTCTCCTCCTGGGCTCCCACTTGGAGTGTCAGCTAAGGCTTGGTTCCAACTCGATGGTACACAACAACAACACACACACACACACACCTTACTCACTGAGTCCCCTCCAACTCATAAAGACCTTCCGTTAGGTTTGATACCACCCTTCCAAAGCCCCATATCCACTAAACCCCTCTGCATATATGGAGACCACCTACACTCCACAAAAAGCCAATGTCTGAATAAGTAAGGAGAGTCATGAGGAGAGGAGGCGGGAGAAGTGCAGAAGGTCAACTATCTGATCTCATTTGACTGAACCCGCCCCGCCCACTTCCTGGCCTCTGGCCCTGCACCCACCGTACCTTTTAAAATGCAAATTCAACAAGTCAGCTTTCAATAGGAAAGAACGGATCTGCAACCCTGGGCAAAATAAACCTGCTGGCAGCATTCATCTTCATAAGGAACGTCTTAGTGGATATTTGGTTTCATGAGTGAGGAAACCCAGGAATCGGAGCAGGACAGCAGCTATCAATCTCTCTTTCACAGTGTTAAGAGTTTACGTTCCTTTCTGGATGGGCTGAGACACAAACAAAAGAGCAATGGCCGATTGCCCCCTAACGGATTCTGACTCATGAGTCCATAGGATGGAGCCAGACCTCCCCCTGCTGTTTCCAAGGCTGGAATCCATACAGAACCAAATGGCCATCCCTCTTTACCACAGAGCAGCTGGTGGGTTTGAACAGCTGACCTTCAGGCTAGTTACTGGCTGAGTGCTTAGCCTACGGTGCCAGAATGTGGTGGTGGTGGCTGTGTGCCATCGAATCAGAACCAACCCACAGCTGACCCTCCAGCGAGCTTTTGAAGGCAGTCAACTGTCCAGGAGGAGACTGACCATCCTGCTCCCACAGAGCAGCCGGTGGGTTCAAACTGTGTGCCTTTGGGGCTGCAGCGCAGCTTCTTACCACTGTTGTTATCGCTGGTAGGTGCTACTGTGTCGCCTACAGCTCCTAGTGACCCTAGGAACGATGGTTCTGAACCGTGCCCTATCCTGAGCCAACCTCACCATCTCCACCACCTCTGACCCCACGTCTGTCACTGTGTCACGAGGCCACTATTTTGCTTTCATAGCCACAAGGTGGCAGCTTCCAGCTCCTTCCGTGATGATAAATGCAGCAGTGAGGTTGCTCGTGAGAGAGAAGTCAACTGACGATTATAAGGAAGGGGGACCTACATTCTCACCTTGGCTGTTGAGGGGTGCTTTGACCCGCCTCGGGCTCACATGTTTTTTGGAAAAAGTACATGAATGTACCTCAGAAAACACTGGTCTAGTCTTGAATGACTCATGTCAACAAAGGGTCACCCATGCCAGCCCTTCACCCAGTTCCAAGTTCAGGGCCGCTGGACACAATGAATTGAACATGCTACTAACTGGCAGTCTTCTCAGGATAAAGGTGCACAGGTTTCTACCTGCCCCGGGGCGAGGCCAGCACTTGTTGTTGTTGTTGGGTGCCATCAAGTCAACCACACTCACGGCAACCCCAGGAACAACAGATCAGAAGCTGGTCCTGTCCTGACCACGCCCACCATGTCCACCATGCTCCAGCCCCCGGCTGCCTCCACGTGTCCATTCATCTCGCTCAAGGCCTCGGGCCCTTTC